ACCTTGCTCCCTGCCAGAGTCCTGCCTCTCTCCTGGGCTCACCTGGGGCCTCTTGTCCTCCACAGGGGACGACCCCAACAAGCCCATGAACCCTGTAGTGACCGGGGCATTCGGAGCCATTGCTGGGGCTGCCAGCGTCTTTGGAAACACACCATTGGATGTGATTAAGACCCGGATGCAGGTAAAGGCAGAGCTCCGCAGATTTAGATTTCAGGGACCTACAAAGAAGTCCTGTTTCAGCTACTGAGTGCTGTGTGATGTTTCCCTCCATGAGCCTCACTTCCCCCATCTGTAAAATGGGACTAAAAAGATCTCCGAGGCCCATCTCAGCTCTGAATAGACCACATGTTGACTCTTACTTCACATATTAGTTGCCTCCTGCATGCAAGGGCCGGGAGCAGGGAGGATTCCAGCAATGGCACCTGTGGGAGCCACGCTGGGCAAGAAGAAGGAGTGTTAAGAGTGGGCGGGCCATGTTGTAGGGGGCCTTGAATGCTCGAGTCAGGAGTTGATAATGTATTTTTGAGGCAGTGAGGACCCACTACAGTTTTTGGAGCGGAAGAGTGAGGAGTTGGCCATGGAAGCCATGTAGAAGATCAGGATTATAAAGGCGAGACACCACCCAGAGAGGGAGGCAGGGAGGCCAGTTGGGTTCGTCCAGTGGGGTCGGGGCTGGAATAGTGGCCGAGGGCCTGGAGAGAAGTCAATGAATGGAGAGGTGCAAGAGAAGGTCTGAGCCTGGCAATGGAGTCAGCGGACAGAGAGAGGGAAGGAGGGAGGGCAGGGGTTGGCTTTATTTCACAGGAGAGGAAACTGAGGCCCGCAGAGAGGGAGCAGATGACCCACCATCCCCCAGCGAGTTACTGGGGAGATGCCTTGTTTGCTCTTCTTAATCTCGGAGGCATAGCCTAGGTGGCTGAGGTCCTCTCCAGCAGTCTCCCCACTGGTCCTGTGATCTCTCTGGGCCTCACTTTCCTCCTCTGTAAGAGCCTTTGTGGGTGTCCCGGACCCCTCTGGCTGTCTGGCAAAGCCTTCTCAAACAAGGAGCATTTATTCAGCACCTCCCCTAGGCCAGGCACTGGGCTAAACTGCAGCATTTTGAGAATACAGCTTTTAAATGCATGGAATCAGAGCATCTAGGTGGTGCAGGGGATAGATCACAGGCCCTGAGTTCAAATCCAGCCTCAGAAACTTACTAGCTGTGTGACCCTGGGCAAGTCACTTAACCCCGATTGCCTCCAAAAAAAAAAGAAAAAGATAAATGCATAAAGTAAAATACAGAAGATTCCAGAGTATATGAAATACGAAAGTACAATGATCACAAAATGCAGGTTAGGGAGTCCTGCCCTTGATAAATCTCTAAGGCCTCCTTTTTCCCCATCCCAGGGCTTGGAGGCTCATAAGTACAAGAGCACGTTGGACTGTGGCTACCAGATCATGAAGCATGAGGGGCTCAAGGCGTGAGTTGGGGACCGCCGAGGCTGTGCCCTCTGCAGGGGAGGGGGACCCCATGGCTGGGAGGGAGGGCCCCCCACTCATGTGGCCTCCCACTTTTTAAAAAAAAATTTCTTCTATTTATTCATTCATTCGTTCATTTATTTTCTGGCCTCCAGCTTCTACAAGGGCACCGTGCCCCGCCTGGGCCGCGTCTGTTTGGATGTGGCCATTGTCTTCGTCATCTATGACGAAGTCGTGAAACTTCTCAACAAAGTGTGGAAGACAGACTGAAGCGGGAGCTGCTGCTGGTCAGCCCTGAGGCCCAGGAGACAGGGCCGGGGCGGACGAGAGGCCGTAACTGTGTTGGGGCTGGGTCCGAGGCCCACACCCAACCTATTTCTGAGAGCCCTGTCCCTGCTCCTGGACGGCCAGGGCCTGTGGCGGATGGGCGCTGCAAGCCCAGGCTTCCCAGGGAAGGGGTCTCCCCTGCCTCCCTCCCCACTGTGAGTAGAGCAGAGGCTTGGCTGGCCGGCCTTTATGCACCAACCCTTCGGCCTCTGCCCCGCCTCTCCTTCCCCCCTCGTGCCCCATCTTTCTTCTGAGACATCCAGGGGGTGGGTCATGCCCCCCCACCCCCCCAGGCTCTCATGATTCCAGTGTGATTTGTGCCAAACAGATCTTGTCCTGTGTTTTCTATGTCGTGTCCATGTTCTGTGTTCAGTGTTCCATGTTTCGTGTGGATCCTCGTGTCTGTCTAGTATGTGTCTACTGCCGGCTCTACCCCCATCTATCACAACCACCAATAACCCCGTGCCTTTTAAGCTACAGGCCTCCCTGGGGAGGAGGCAGGGATTCCCCCGAGGGAGACAGGGGACCCCCACCTGAGTTTCTGCGCCTGGTGGTGCTTGGGGACACTCCCCGGGACCAAATCCTTCTCTTTTCCTGGGTCTTCCTCTGGAGACAGAGAGGGAGATCCCAGCTCCCACCCTGCCACTCCACACACCAAAGCTGCCTCTGGGGGTCCAGCCTCACTGGACGGCCCCCAAAGCCATCGGTGCCCTTACCCTGGGCTTGTGGGAGTCCTCATCACTCTGGGTTGGTGGGGGCCAGGTCGAGCCACATGTCATGGGACCAAGGTCTGTGTGGTGGGGGGAGGAGGGGAAAGCAGATTGGGTCCCTAGCCTGAGCAGGACGGGCCTCTACAATGGGGCCTGGACCTTCAACCCCGAATCTACTTTCTGAGGCTCACTCAGGTTTTCCAACCACACCCGGATGACAGAATAAACCGGAAACTGGTGTCAATGCCCATTTTGTCTGTGTGAGATGTAAAAGGGGGTCTGGAGGCTGGTAGTGTGTCCCGGGGGGCAGTTCCCAGTGTGACCATCCTTACCAGACCTGTGACCCTCCTTCAGAATCCCTGGAAAGAGATCAGGCAGGGCCCAGAGGCAGGACCACAATGTCGGAGCTGGCAAAGGGTTATAGGAGTCACAGCTGGATGGTCTTTGAGCTTACAGTCATTCAGTCCAACCCTCTCATTTTACAGCAGAACAAACTGAGGCTCAGAACTGGGCCGAGACACGGCTCAAGGCCACGAAAAGCAAAGGGGAATTGGGGGTGGGCCCAGCAGGAACAGTGAGAGCACACACAGGAGCTTGATTAGTCCGGGTGTAGGTAGAGAAGTAGAGGCACCCGAGGACAGTGGTTTGGAATCCCTGCTCCGATCTCTTGTGTGCACAGTTTGTCTTGATGCCAAGATAAATCACTTAACCTCTCTGAGGCGCTTCCTCAACTCTAGACGAGGGTGCACCCTCTTCCCTGATAGAATATAAGCTCCCGGAGAGCAGGGATAGCTCACGTTTGTCTTTGTATCCTTGGCACTTAGCACAGTGCCTGGTATACAGTAGGTGCTTAATAAATGCTTATTGATCGATTGATTGGACAGACTTCTCTGAGGAAAAATGCCTTCGGATTTAAGAGCTATAGAAATAAGGCAGTAATAAATGGGGCTTTGAATGTCATGCCCTGGGGAGGCAGGCCAGTCTGGGCTGGTGCCATAGCTTTCTCTCGTAGTGATGAAGACAGTCCAAAGTGCAGGAAAGCTCAGGCTTGGTGGCTAGTTTTGGCTTTCTGGCCCCAGAAGGAGCAGAGCGGAGCAGTGAGCAGGTAGGGGAGGGAGCTGAGGAGAGGATGTACAGCTGCGGGGCCAGGGCCGAGCTTTGGGTTCCGTTCTGGAGCTACCGGGAAGGGAATGGCTGGGAGGACCCTCCAGTGGGAATGTTTAACTGAGAGAAGACGGGGGACACGAGGGCGTCCTCCCGTTGGCTAGACTGTTCCATCAGACTCCAGAGGACATAATAAGGCGCTCCGCAGCAAACACTTGCCAAGGCCAGTTTGGACCGGTTACAACGAAGCAATCTCCCCCAGTACACTGTCTCCAAGTGGCAAGCTACCCCTTCACTTCTCATGTACCCAGTAGGAGGGTCCTTGTTCAGCCTCATCACGGGCCATTTGCTCCCATGATCCTCCTTGGTGCCAGGAGGGGGGATGCAGAGACCGAGGCCCTTTCCAGCTCCGAGACTGGCTTCAGACTTGCCTGTGTAACCCTGGGAACGCTGGCCTTGCCAGCCCGGGGGGGGGGGGGCCTCGTGGAGGGGGCCTGATTGAGCAGAAGGACCTTGGGCACCTTGCTAGGGCTCCTGGGTCGGGGTTATGAGGCAGAATCATGGGAAATGGCCCAGCAGGGTCAGGCCAGAGGCTCTCTCCTGGATGGTGCTGTGCACACCCCAAGGAATCCTACTGCTTGTATCCCCAGCACATAGCTGTTCAGTCGTTTCCAGTCACATCTGACTCTGGGACCCCATTTGGGGTCTTCCTGGCATGGATACTAGAGGGGTTTGCCATTTCCTTCTCCAGCTCATTTGACAGATGAGGTAACTGAGGCAGTGACTAGCCCAGGGTCACACTGCTAGGAAGTGTCTGAGGCCCGACTTCAGGCCTGGCAGCCTATGCACTGCTCCACCCAGCTGCCTCCTGGCACACAATAGGTGCTTAATAAATGTTTTATTGACCCACGTAGCTGGCTCTGGAGTCAGAGGACCTGCGTTCTAACCCTAGCTCTTCCACTTACCCACCTGTGTGACTCCAGGCACGTACACTCCCCCTCCCTAAGTCTCAGTCTCCTCATCTGTGAAATAAGGTCAGACTAGGCCTCCAAGGTCCCTTCGAGCTTTCAATGTCTGATCCTACCATCCCTAACAAGAGAGAGCACAAGCCCATGGTGACACATTTCCATCTACAAACACTTGCCAGTACGCACCTACTGTGTGCCCACTTCTGTGCTAAGCGTGAAGATCCAGAGGGGAAACAAGCCCAGGCTCTCTCTTCAGAGGAGACTCGAGGGAGATGCGGCATGTCCGCGTGAGCAGTGCAATCCAGGCCAATGAGAATGTCAGGTAAAACAAAGGAAAATCTTGGGGGGACGCATGGCCCAGGGAAGGAAGCCAGGAAGGGGGATCAGGGCAATAAAGGTACAAGGTCCTCGGGAGGGACCAAAAAGCAGATTCCACCAGAACGTCAAGGGGCTGCCCTGATTCTCCTCCTGCCCTCGTCCAGTTCCTTCCAAGGGGGACACAGGGCGTGTCATTCGGTACCTACTTACGGGCCCCAGCCAGCCTTCTTGTCCCTTCTGCGTGTTCTGTGGGGTGGAATAAAGGCTGGCCTCTAAAATACAAAGGGAAAGAGCTGGAGTCCAAAGACCTGGTCTCAAGCCTGGCTCTGACACGAGCCCTTGGGAACCTGTTTCCTCCTCTCTAAATTGGGAATGATCCTCACCCCAGAATGAAGGATTTGGAGCTGGGAGGGGATCTCAGGGAGGCCAAATGTCAGGGATCGCCAAGGTTACGCAGGCAGCTGGGTGGTGCGGTAGCTAAGAACACAGGGCCTGGAGTCAGGAAGATCTGAGTTCAAATCCAGCCTCACATACTTACTAGCTGTGACCCTGGGCAAGTCACTTAACCCTTATTTGGCTCAGTTCCCCATCTGCAAAATGGAGACACACTAGGGAAGGAAATGGCGAACCACTCCAATATCTTCTCCAAAAAAAACCTCATGGACAAATGTGGTCATGAAGAGTTAGAGGCAGCACTCAGACTGTTTAGCCAATGATGTTTCCTCACTTTGCAGGGAGGAAAGGGATTTGTTGATTACAAAGCCTGCACCCTGGGTGTTACTTGTAGAAGGAAAATTGGCTTCCAGTTAGAGGAATCACGGAAAGCCTCATGGTAACACAGTTGGCCTTGAAGGGAAAGATCTCACCATGGACAAACGCAAGAGAGGAAGGCCCATCCTGGCCAGGGGGTGTGGGCAAGACGGAACAGAAGTCTTGGAAGAAGTTCCTCAGGCTGAGTGTGGTAGGCATGAGACTAGCCAGAAAGCCAGCCTGGAGCAGCCAGGTGCTGCGGGGGCCTTGAATGCCGGTCTAAAGAAAGGAAACAGACCAGCCTGGAGGGGGCATCACCGAGGACTGAGAACTGGGAGGGCCCTTACACGAGATCATCTCACACTCCTTGTCACCTTAGAGGCCGCTGGCTTCCTGTGTTCCTCTAGTCACTTAAGAGATGATGGGGTGGGGGAGCCCCTGGATTTGGAGTGTAAGGTCCCAGGCTCAGATCCCAGCTCAGCCACTTACAAGGCGCACACACGTGTGTGTGTGTGTGTGTGTGTGTGTGTGTGTGAGACTATTTCCTTGCCCCTTAAGCTTCCCCAAACCTCAGTTTTCCCATCTACAAAATGGGGGCACTGAACTAGAGGATCCGATAGTCTGACCCACTCGTCCTCCACAGCCTGCTGCTGACTCCCATGCCTGGAACACACTGCCTGCCCTCCATCCTTTCCAATCACCAGCTGCCTTTGGCTCAGCTCTCCGCTGCACCTCCTGCGTGAAGCAACACCTGGCCCCAGGTGCGAGTGTCTCCTCCCCTCCTCCACCTCAGAAATTACCTTGTGATGTATATGCTCCGTCTTCTATAGACTCCCACGGGCACAGGCAGGCAACATGAGGTAGTGGTGGACAGCCGGCCTGGAAGCCAAAGCCGCTTCAAGTCCCACGAGCGTCAGACCCTGGCCCTCGTACCAGCTGTGTGATCCTGGGCCAAGTCCTGCACTGGTGGAGGGACTTTCCTCACGTGGCAGCTCAATCGCAGGTCCATGTGTACACACTTGTCTTCTCCCCCCTCCCCCCTCCATAGAATGTCAGCTCTCTAAGGCTGCTTCTGGAGCCCCAGTGCCTGGCACACAGTAGGTGCATATTAAATATTTGCTGCTTGTCTATTAGTTGAGAACTCCCTCAGCTTTAAGCTGAGGGCCCCTTCTCACGATCACCTAGCGCCCTTGAGGTTAGCACCCCTGCTCAGTCTGCACTATCTCCGATCACAGCAGGATCCAGCCTGGGAACATCAGTCCAGGACAGAGCTGGAGGGGAGGCCCCAGCCCATCGCTCCTTCTTCCCTCTGCCAGAGGCCAAGCCTTCCTTCTGAGGGGGCCATGTTCCACGGAAGCAGAAAAGCTTGTGTCAGACACTTGTGGGTGTCAAATGCCTTCAATTTATGAAGACATTCGCATAGAAGGAAAACACCTGATTTTGAAAAACTCATTGGATGTCAGAGCTGGGAGGGGCCCCAGAACAGGCGATGTCAGGGCTGGAGGGGCCCCAGAACAGGGGATGTCAGGGCTGGGAGGGGCCCCAGAACAGGGCATGTCAGGGCTGGAGGGGCCCCAGAACAGGGAATGTCAGGGCTGGGAGGGGCCCCAGAACAGGGGATGTCAGGGCTGAGAGGAGCCCTAGAACAGGGAATGTTAGAGCTGGGAGGGGCCTCAGAACAAAAGTCAGACTTCAGCAGGGGGTTTGCGCTAATTCCCTCCCCCCCTAGTTTTATAGATGGAGATGCCCAGGAATAAAGAAGGGAAGGGCATCACCCCAGGAGACAGGGCCAGGCCTGGAAGGTATTTATGGAGCCATTATCAGCTCCTAACACTTACGAGTGAATTATCAGGCTGTAAAAGAATTTTGTTTGGGAAGGGGGAGCAGGGCAGGCCCGGGTGCTAATGCACTTTCAAGTTTGCAAAGAAAGAGCTTTACACTTACTACCTGATCCTCACAACAGCCCTGGGAGGTAGACGCTATTAGGAAGCCCATTTTACAAACAGGAAGCTGAGGCAGACAGAGGTGAGGTGACTGGCTGGGGGTCTCACGGTCACTTAGTGTCTATGGCAGGACACCTGTCAGTGGCAGAGGGAAATGGGATTTTCTTCCCAGTGGCCAGAGGCCGTCGGAGTTGGGGCCTTCAGCCAGATTACAGACCCTGGAGGCTGGGGGATAGGCAGAGCCTGGCCCCACTGAATCTTGGCATTTGCCGAGGTTCTAGGGGAGCGCCTGCTTGCAGGCTTCCTTATCCAGGATCCCGGGTCTCCTAGGTAGCTTCCAGGTGGCCTCCTGGATTACTCCTACCTTGGCCATCAGCACCAAAAGAACAGAGATGAGTCTGGGCCTCAGCCCTGGGGCTGGGCTGTCCTGAGCTGGAAGGCACTGCCTCCCTCACTGGCCAAGAAGGAGGCGGCAGGTGGGGGGGGGGGGCGGCGGCAGGGCGTCCAGACCTGATTCTGGGTTCTCTCCAGTACACTATGCTGGAGATCCTTACAGCACAGAACAGACCAATCTCCAAAGAGTTCTTGCCTCTAACCCTCCAGGGTTCTCACGAATTCCACAGACACCAGGAGGGCAGATGAGACAAGCACCAAGTTAAGCTGGGGGTCAGTGCCTGCGCCAGCCCTGGACATAGCAAGGGCACCTGAGGAGGGACACAAGCTTCTCCCCTCTCCGGCCTCCCTTTCCTTCTCTGTCCCACAGGGGCTTGGGCTCCCAGGGCCCTTCTGGACCTGCCCAGCTGCCTCTCCTGGGCAGGCAACACGGGTGATTTTCCTGTGTGGACAGACAACTAGGCACCCCACGGAGGGCTTGCCAAGGCTGCCCAACCACTGTTCCCCCCATAAAAAAGGAAGGCTGAATCAGAACAGGCAGGGAGGCAGACCCAGTGATGAGGAAACCTGGATGCTTTTACTTCTCTGACAGCAGCACCAAGAGGCCCAGACTCCTGGCACAGGGATCCATCAGCCCGTCCCCTTAGCACACAGACAGGGTTCTGAGAAATATGTCCTTGTCGACTTGACCTACAGCCACTGGAGGCCTGGCCTGAACGCTGGACCTCCTGAGCTGGGGCAGAGTGCTGGCATGCGCTCATCCCCACCCCCTGGCACCTGCTAAGGGGCTCTGAGCTCTTGCTTCAGCTTTCTGACCCCACACAGCCCAGGCGGAGCTCCGTGGGGCAAAGTCTGGGCTGGGAGCCTCTAACACCCTTCCCAGCCCAACTCAAACAGGACTCCTGGGGCTTCTTCCCAGAAGCAAGCCACAGGGAGCCTGCCCCCCTGCCCCAGAGGGCGGTAACTGCTGAGTGACAGCAGAGGAGGAGGAGGAGGAGGAGGCAGAGGCTTCGCCTGGGCGGGCCCAGATGGGCCCTGTGAAGGAGAAGGCCTCTCTGGGCACGGGCAGGCGGCGGGCTCCAGGATCTTCTCCTCAGGAGTTTGTCTGTGGGCAGCAGGCAGGCAGGCAGGGTCAGGCAGCTCAGGTGCCCAGCTCCCGCCTCAGCTTGACGATCTCCAGGACCAGTTTCTCCTTTTCCAGGAGAATCTTCTCTTTCTGCAGCTGCAGTGTCTCCTTTTGCAGCTCCAGTATCTCTGTCTGGAGGCGGCTCTGCTTGGCCAATTCCCCGGTATCCTTCTCTGGGAGCCCCTCCTCGCTGGGCCGGGGGCCTGGCAGCAAATCCTCTTCCGCAGTCACCACCGAGGCGCTCACTGACGGAGAACAATTGAAGAGAGGGAGAAGAGACAAGGAAGTTAAAGAGCATAAGGAAGCCTGGCCAGCCTAGCTGGGAGAGGGGAGCACAGGATACCAGGAGACATGCCAGAAGCAGCAGGGAACCTGGCCTGCATGCCCACTTGGCCCAGCGGCAGGCCCTAGACCTAGAATCAGAGAACCTGGGTTCAAGTCCCAGCTCCGGTGCTCTTCATCATGCCACTGGCCAAAAAGGCAAGATGGTACAGTGGAAAAAACTGCCCGTGGAGTCACAAGATCTGGGTTCAGAGCTCACCTCTACTGCGTAATCCTGGGCATATCCCTTCCCCTCCCTGGGCCTCAGTTTCCTTTTCCATAAAATGTCTGACGGACCCTGAGATCCCTTTCCACTCCAAATCTAGCATCCCAATGGCCTCACTTTACCAGTGAGTCAGTAACCTGAAGCCCTGGCAGGTGACAGGCTCTAGGTCACTAATTCCTGGGCAGGTAGGATGGACCTAACTCTTACATAAAAAGTTAGCAAATGGCCTTAGCAGCAACCAAAGCCTCCAAGGCCCTGAAGGGGTGAGGGTGGGGGCTACTGCTCAGGCACGCACCCACCCTGGGCCCCATCTGCAGGCTGAGGGCCTGCTATAAGTGTGTGGCCAATCAGGGAAAGCCCAAGGCTGAGGTCGGCAAACAAAGGAATTCTTGTGGCCTCCAGGGCTGCCTCGTGACCGTCCCCTCCCTCCTGGTCACTTCAGACACTCATTGGTCTTACTCTACAAATCATGGGACGAACAAGCAGACTAGAGCTATCCCCTGTGACCATTACTGATGGTTCCGTGGTCCCTGCCAACCCTGAGGGGGGCCCTGAAGTCCCTTCCCCTTGGTGGGACTCTGTTTCCTCATCTGTAAAATAAAGGGTTGATTCGAGGGCCTCGGTTTCATTCTTTGTACTTGCATCTCTAGCCCCAGCCTGGTGCGTGGCAGAGTAGGTGCTTAATGAATGCTTACTGGTTATTATCACTATCACTGAAAGGCGGGCAGCAGTGTGCTAAGTGTCTCTCTGAGACTGGGAGGTGCAGACAGGATGCCCACCTGCACTGGGGGAGAAAGTTTTCTCACCTGGGAGAGTGCTACTGGTGAAACCATGGGTTTAGCATCTGCCCTCTTCTGACTGATCACCACCTCCACCCCAACCATCATCATTTTTTTTTTTTGGTTTTGTTTTTGGTTAGGCAATGGGGTGAAGTGACTTGCCCACTGTCACACAGCTAGTGAGCGTTATGTGTCTGAGGCTGGATTTGAACTCATGTGCTCCTGAATAAAGGGCCGGTGCTCTCTCCACTGCGCCACCTAGCTGGCCCCCAACCATCATCATTAAACGCTCCCCCCCATGCCCAGTGGGGTTCCCCAGGACCATTCAGAGAGCACCTGGCTAGGACTTGCAAGAGGCCCCTGAGGTTCCAGCTGCCAAATATTCCATCTTTCAAGTCACCTCTGGTGCCTTCGACATGTTCTTGGGCAAATGATTCTCTTGGAAGGTGAACTCGATTTTGAGGAAC